TGCATGTTTTGCCTCTTTTGCCCTCTTTTGCCTCTTTTGCCCTCTTTGCCTCTTTTGCACTCTTTGCATCTTTTGCCTCTTTTGCCCTCTTTTGCCTCTTTTGCCCTCTTTGCACTCTTTGCCTCTTTTGCCTCTTTTGCCTCGTTTGCCCTCTTTGCCTCTTTTGCCCTCTTTGCATCTTTCGCATCTTTTGCCCTCTTGTGCATCTTTTGCCTCTTTTGCCCTCTTTGCCTCTTTTGCCCTCTTTGCATCTTTTGCCTCTTTTGCCCTCTTTGCCTCTTTTGCCTCTTTTGCCCTCTTTGCATCTTTTGCCATCTTTGCATCTTTTGCCTCTTTTGCCCTCTTTGCCTCTTTTGCATCTTTTGCCTCTTTTGCCCTCTTTGCATCTTTTGCACTCTTTGCATCTTTTGCCTCTTTTGCCCTCTTTGCCTCTTTTGCATCTTTTGCATCTTTTGCCATCTTTGCATCTTTTGCCATCTTTGCATCTTTTGCCTCTTTTGCCACCTTTGCCTCTTTTGCCTTTTTTGCCCTCTTTGCCTCTTTTGCCTCTTTTGCATCTTTTGCCTCTTTTGCCCTCTTTGCCTCTTTTGCACTCTTTGCATCTTTTGCCTCTTTTGCCTCTTTTGCCCTCTTTGCCTCTTTTGCCCTCTTTGCATCTTTTGCCTCTTTTGCCCTCTTTTGCCTCTTTTGCCTCTTTTGCCCTCTTTGCCTCTTTTGCACTCTTTGCATCTTTTGCCTCTTTTGCCCTCTTTTGCCTCTTTTGCACTCTTTGCATCTTTTGCATCTTTTGCCCTCTTTGCCTCTTTTGCATCTTTTGCCCTCTTTTGCATCTTTTGCCCTCTTTTGCATCTTTTGCCCTCTTTGCCTCTTTTGCCTCTTTTGCATCTTTTGCTCTCTTTGCCTCTTTTGCCCTCTTTGCATCTTTTGCCTCTTTTGCCCTCTTTGCCTCTTTTGCATCTTTTGCATCTTTTGCCCTCTTTGCCTCTTTTGCCCTCTTTGCATCTTTTGCCTCTTTTGCCCTCTTTTGCCTCTTTTGCATCTTTTGCCCTCTTTGCATCTTTTGCCTCTTTTGCCCTCTTTTGCATCTTTTGCCTCTTTTGCCCTCTTTGCCTCTTTTGCACTCTTTGCATCTTTTGCCTCTTTTGTCTTTTGGCTCTTTTGCCCTCTTTGCCTCTTTTGCATCTTTTGCATCTTTTGCCCTCTTTGCCTCTTTTGCACTCTTTGCATCTTTTGCTTCTTTTGCCATCTTTTGCCTCTTTTGCCCTCTTTGCCTCGTTTGCCTCTTTTGCCTCTTTTGCCCTCTTTGCCTCTTTTGCCCTCTTTGCATCTTTTGCATCTTTTGCACTCTTTTGCCTCTTTTGCCACTTTTGCCCTCTTTGCATCTTTTGCCTCTTTTGCCCTCTTTTGCCTCTTTTGCCTCTTTTGCCGTCTTTGCCTCTTTTGCCCTCTTTGCATCTTTTGCCTCTTTTGCCCTCTTTTGCCTCTTTTGCCCTCTTTGCATCTTTTGCCTCTTTTGCCTCTTTTGCCCTCTTTGCCTCTTTTGCCCTCTTTGCATCTTTTGCATCTTTTGCCCTCTTTTGCCTCTTTTGCCCTCTTTTGCCCTCTTTGCATCTTTTGCCTCTTTTGCAATCTTTTGCATCTTTTGTCTTTTGCCTCTTTTGCCCTCTTTGCATCTTTTGCCTCTTTTGCCCTCTTTTGCCCTCTTTGCATCTTTTGCCCTCTTTGCATCGTTTGCCTCTTTTGCCTCTTTTGCCTCTTTTGCCTCTTTTGCCATCTTTGCATCTTTTGCCCTCTTTGCATCTTTTGCCTCTTTTGCACTCTTTTGCCCTCTTTGCCTCTTTTGCCCTCTTTGCATCGTTTGCCCTCTTTGCCTCTTTTGCATCTTTTGCCTCTTTTGCCCTCTTTGCATCTTTTGCAATCTTTGCATCTTTTGCCTCTTTTGCCCTCTTTGCATCTTTTGCCTTTTTTGCCCTCTTTGCCTCTTTTGCCTCTTTTGCATCTTTTGCCTCTTTTGCCCTCTTTGCTTCTTTTGCCCTCTTTGCATCTTTTGCCTCTTTTGCCCTCTTTGCCTCTTTTGCCTCTTTTGCCTCTTTTGCCCTCTTTGCATCTTTTGCCCTCTTTGCATCTTTTGCATCTTTTGCCCTCTTTGCCTCTTTTGCCCTCTTTGCCTCTTTTGCATCTTTTGCCCTCTTTGCATCTTTTGCCTCTTTTGCCTTTTTTGCCCTCTTTGCCTCTTTTGCATCTTTTGCCCTCTTTGCATCTTTTGCATCTTTTGCCTTTTTTGCCCTCTTTGCCTCTTTTGCCCTCTTTGCCTCTTTTGCATTTTTTTGCACTCTTTGCCTCTTTTGCCTCTTTTGCCCTCTTTGCATCTTTTGCCTCTTTTGCCTTTTTTGCACTCTTTGCCTCTTTTGCATCTTTTGCATTTTTTGCCCTCTTTGCCTCTTTTGCCTTTTTTGCACTCTTTGCATCTTTTGCCTTTTTTGCCTTCTTTGCTTTTGCCTCTTTTGCCCTCTTTGCCTCTTTTGTTTCTTTTGCCTTTTTTGCCCTCTTTGCCTCTTTTGTCTTTTTTGCCCCTTTTGCTTCTTTTGCATCTTTTGCCCTCTTTGCCTCTTTTGCCTCTTTTGCCTTTTTTGCACTCTTTGCCTCTTTTGCATTTTTTGCTCTCTTTGCCTCTTTTGCATTTTTGCCCTCTTTGCCTCTTTTGCATTTTTTGCCCTCTTTGCGTCTTTTGCCCTCGTTGCTTCTTTTGCATCTTTTGCACTTTTGCCCTCTTTGTTTCTTTTGCCTCTTTTGCCTTTTTTGCACTCTTTGCCTCTTTGCATTTTTTGCACTCTTTGCCTCTTTTGCCTTTTTTGCACTCTTTGCCTCTTTTGCATTTTTTGCCCTCTTTGCCTCTTTTGCCCTCTTTGCATCTTTTGCATCTTTTGCCTTTTTTTGCCCTCTTTGCAGCTTTTGCATCTTTTGCCTCTTTTGCATTGCATCTTTTGCACTTTTTGCCTTTTTTGCCCTCTTTTGCCTCTTTTGCCTTTTTTGCACTCTTTGCCTCTTTGGCCTTTTTTGCTCTCTTTGCCTCTTTTGCATCTTTTGCCCTCTTTGCCTCTTTTGCCTCTTTTGCATCTTTTGCACTCTTTGCCTCTTTTGCATTTTTGCCCTCTTTGCCTGTTTTGCATTTTTTGCACTCTTTGCCTCTTTTGCCTCTTTTGCCCTCTTTGCCTTTTTTGCCTCTTTTGCATTTTTTGCCCTCTTTGCCTCTTTTGCCTCTTTTGCCCTCTTTGCCTCCTCTTTTGCATTTTTTGCACTCTTTGCCTCTTTTGCCCTTTTTGCACTCTTTGCCTCTTTTGCCTCTTTTGCCTTTTTTGCACTCTTTGCCCTCTTTTGCCTTTTTTGCTCTCTTTGCATCTTTTGCATTTTTTGCCCTCTTTGCCTCTTTTGCCCTCTTTTGCCCTCTTTGCATCTTTTGCCTCTTTTGCTTCTTTTGCCCTCTTTGCCTCTTTTGCCTCTTTTGCCCTCTTTGCCTCTTTTGTCTCTTTTGCATCTTTTGCCTCTTTTGCCTCTTTTGCATCTTTTGCATCTTTGCCTCTTTTGCCTCTTTTGCATCTTTTGCCTCTTTTGCCTCTTTTGCATCTTTTGCATCTTTTGCATTTTTTGCCTCTTTTGCCTTTTTTGCTTTCTTTGCATCTTTTGCCTTTTTTGCACTCTTTGCCTCTTTTGCCCTCTTTGCCTCTTTTGCCTCTTTTGCATCTTTTGCACTCTTTGCCTCTTTTGCCTCTTTTGCACACTTTGCCTCTTTTGCCTCTTTTGCATCTTTTGCATCTTTTGCCTCTTTTGCCTCTTTTGCATCTTTTGCCTCTTTTGCCTCTTTTGCATTTTTTGCAATCTTTGCCTCTTTTGCCTCTTTTGCCTCTTTTGCTTCTTTTGCATCTTTTGCCTCTTTTGCATCTTTTGCCCCTTTTGCCTCGTTTGCCTCTTTTGCCTCTTTTGCCCTTTTTGCCTCTCTTGCCTTTGTTGCATCTTTTGCCTCTTTTGCATCTTTTGCCTCTTGTGCCTTTTTTGCCCTCTTTGCCTCTTTTGCCTCTTTTGCCTCTTTTGCCCTTTTTGCATCTTTTTGTCTCTTTTGCCCTCTTTGCCTCTTTTGCCTCTTTTGCCTCTTTTGCCTCTTTTGCCTCTTTTGCATCTTTTGCATCTTTTGCTTTCTTTGCCTCTTTTGCATCTTTTGCCTGCTTTTGCATCTTTTGCATCTTTTGCATCTTTTGCATCTTTTGCCTTTGTTGCATCTTTTGCCTCTTTTGCCTCTTTTGCATCTTTTGCATCTTTTGCTTCTTTTGCTTCTTTTGCATCTTTTGCATCTTTTGCCTCTTTTGCCTCTTTTGCATCTTTTGCCTCTTTTGCCTCTTTTGCACTCTTTGCATCTTTTGCCTCTTTTGCCTCTTTTCCATTTTTTGCCTCTTTTGCCTCTTTTGCCTTTGTTGCATCTTTTGCCTCTTTTGCCTCTTTTGCCTCTTTTGCATCTTTTGCTTCTTTTGCCTCTTTTGCATCTTTTGCATCTTTTGCCTTTTTTGCCTCTTTTGCATCTTTTGCCTCTTTTGCCTCTTTTGCCTCTTTTGCATTTTTTGCCCTCTTTGCTTCTTTTGCATCTTTTGCATCTTTTGCCTCTTTTGCATCTTTTGCATCTTTTGCCTTTTTAGCCCTCTTTGCCTCTTTTGCCTCTTTTGCCTCTTTTGCATCTTTTGCATCTGTTGCCTTTTTTGCCCTCTTTGCCTCTTTTGCCTTTTTTTTTTTTTTTCATCTTTTGCCTCTTTTGCCTCTTTTGCCCTCTTTGCCTCTTTTGCCTCTTTTGCCTCTTTTGCCTTTTTTGCACTCTTTGCCTCTTTTGCCTCTTTTGCCTCTTTTGCATCTTTTGCATCTTTTGCATCTTTTGCCTCTTTTGCCTTTGCGTTTTCTTCAAACTGTTGAAAAGACCAGACTGAACCTAGCTCGGGCTCGGGCTGTCGGATCCGTAGGACCTTGGCGAAGGATCTCCAGACGGCAGTTGGGAAGCTGGCTGAGCTGAATCCCATTTTGACGGGACGCGCCAAGAAGTCGGAGGGCAAAGTCTGGGTGGAGCCGGGCGTGCACCACGCCTTGTTTCGCATCGCCGAGTGTCCCAAGGAGTGCCCGCTGATTGCGCCGCTGGACTTCAAGAGTAAGCTCCAGTTCTTGGAAGGCCTGGAGAAACACCTGGTGGATCCCTTGACAGCCATCCAGACGCTGCACATCGGCTCCCAGGTCTTTTTGGTCGAACTCATGACCTTTGAAGAGCCCTTCGTGTGCTTCGTGGTGCACTTGTCGCACCTGGTGGGGGACGCCAAGACCTTATACGACTTGGTGGGCCAGTTGAACGCGCTGCTGGCGCATCAAGAAGTGAAGCCGCTGCAGTGGGACAGCCCTGCACGGCTCAGCCTGGAGCTGGTGCCCCTCTGCAAAGCTGACCGCGAGCGCATCAGCCGCTGGGGCACGCTGGGCTGGCTCGCGCAGAAGATCTGCGGGCCGGCGCGCAAGAGCCGCGTGTCTCTGCTCTCCAAGAGTGGGATCGAGAAGCAGAAGCTGGAGTTGCTCTCTTCCGAGTCCAAGTTCCTGTCTTCCAACGATGTGATCACGGCGGCTCTGAGCCGCGCAATCAAGAACTCGAAGGTCATGAACATCGCGGTGAACCTGCGGGGCCGCAAATGCGAGGAGAACTGCGCGGGCAACTTCTGGCACAACGTGCCCATGGCCCACCAGGCCGCCCAGGATCCCAACGCCGTCCGGGCGCTCCTCCCGAAGCTTCAGTACTACAAAGACGGCGAAGTGCCCTGGACGTCCGGAGCCCAGTGGGAAATGATTGAAGTGATTGACATGCAAGCAAGATCCAATTTGCAAACTCAAACCGCCGTTGCTCCGTCTTCTTATATTGTTTCATCTTCAATTCTTGCAGAGTCTCGCGAAAGAGGCCCTTTGCCGCTGGCCGCTACAGCTTCATCACCAACTGGACTGCCTTCACCCAGCACCTGGAGGCCGCGTTTTCTTGTTGCTTGGTGCTTCCTTTTGGTGTTGCGCAGGTCGAAGGGCTGAAGGTAGAGTGCCACTTGGTGCACGGCAATTTTCTGAGACAAAACCCCACCAATGTGGCGGTGGTTTTCCATGCCAGCCGTGACGCTCTGGCCTTGAGTCACAATGACCGGGCCTCGGGTTGGGGGGATGATGTGTCGAGATTTGTCACGTTTGCGAGGGCTTCAGGATCTTCAGAGACTGAGTCACTGAGGTGCCGGATAAGAACTTGGACGCCACTGGCCTCCTAGGCGGGGAGAGCCAAACTGAGTTGGGCACGTTGCATTCTCGTCGCTTTTCCTGAGGCGCGCTGCTGAGCTGAAACTGCGATACGGAAAAGAGCGAATGCAGACGAAGGGGCAACAAGTCTAAGAGGATTCCTGGCACATAGCGCCTGCAAATCGGGTTTGGCTCAAAGGCTGAAACATGGGGCACCGGGCAGTGAGCAGTCGCCACAGAAATGCGGACGCCTTGGCTCGTTGAAGTTGAATCGATTGCAATTGAGTTGTTTCCAAGGCCTGGACACTCTGCCTGTTGTTGCGTGCCCGGCGCTTGAGATGACAAGCTTGGACTGCGTGGCAAGTCCACTGGTCCACTCCAGGTCTTTTCCGCCCAGGCAGACAAGGCGAATCGCGAGTCGAGTCGCGAAGCCGAAGTGCCCAAAGTCGGCTTCAGGTGGCGGTGACGCTCAGGCGAAGGATCGCTTCGAGATCGCGTTGCTCCGGTTTCGTTCAGGTCGCACGAAGCGACGAAGGCGCCGGGAGATGCGAAGCAAGAGCAAAGCTATGCAAAGCTACAACATTCCCACGTCAGATATGAGACAGGCAGAGGGGTGTGGCAGGAGTATGCTTTGTACTCGCCTGAGATGGAGGTGCCGAATGAGGAGAGGTTCAAATTCCCAGCCTCTCAAATTCTCCCAGTTTCGAGTCGGAGCCACGACTCTTGAGGAGCCACCGGAGCGCTGCGGCCAAGGCCATCGTCTTCCAGAGAGTCCGAGAATGGACGAAATGGACCGAATGGACCGAATGGACCGAATGGACCGAATGGACCGAATGGACCGAATGGACCGAATCCCGCATCCATGGGCAGGTACGCTCCAGTGGCTCGCCAGAGGCATGGCCAAGACTGGCCCCGATCCGAATTGGATTCCATTCGCATGCGCCATGGGCCAGGCGCAAACCTCCAGATGTTTTTGCTCGGCGCATCGATAGAGGCCGCTCACCTTTGCAAACTTTCAGTCTGGCGAGGCTGTTTGGCTTCGGCATTTTTTCTCACTTGTGGCAAGTGTGCAATGTATGTACGAGGGCCATGCGCTCTGAGGCGTTTCGCTGGGCTTGCGTGCAGAGTCAGCTGAGAGGTGCCCTGGATTTGAGAAAGATTGTATGCATTGCACGGCAGCTCGCAGCTTCCCACAGTCTTCCACCATTGGAACTCACGGGAAAAGTGATCGGAATTTGCCAGGAACCCCGATTCTTCCAGCCGTTCTGATGGCTCTTTGACCTGGCATCGATGTGGCCTCTCTTGCATGGGACACCGGGTCATACCGGGCCCGTCTTTTGCCTCTCTTCAGGTGAGCCCTGTGGGCGTTTTGCTCGGCATTAGATTAGGCTGAGGAGAGGAGGCTTTTCAGAAACCTAGCTCTCAGATGAGCTCGAAGCAGCTCACTCTGAGATGTTTGATCCATTCGAAGCACATGGAAGCTCATTGGAACTTGCGCCAGTCTGGAATCAAATTTATTCTCGGCGGCATTTAGCAGTTCAGTCGCTCTTATCAGCGATAGCTGTGGCGGGCCGGCGGCCTCTCTGCGATTAGAAAAAAGTCGCCCAGAGCGGTTGCGAAGTTGCGAAGTTGCGAGGTTGCGAGCTTCTCAGCTGTTTGAGCCCACGCTCTGCCTGGCTCAGACGGGCACCCGGAACCTTCTAGGGGCGTGTCATGGTTCGTAGTCGGCTAGACAGGTGAGGGCGACCTGAACCTGTTAGAGATGGTTTTTGAGTTTTACTGAGTTTTACTGTTTTGTTTGCATATTTGTTGACCGCTTTTGAGGCACTCGGCGCGTTGCAGGCTTAGTGGCCTGGCGGTGGTGGCGACGGTGCTCAGCGGCGCCAAAGCCTTTTCAGGCATCAGGCGGGTCAGTGATGCGAGCATTGTGTCAGTGTACTGGGTGCTTTGCATGGCAACTGATACAAGCTCACCAAGCTCTCTCGCGATGCAGACCCCCCGCCAATGTATCATCACTCCACTATCGTGATCTCTTTCAAGCTGCGAGGGTGTTGCACCGCTGCACAGCTGCATGCCGTATATATGTTCCAGGCCGTGGACCCCCCCCCCTCCCCCCCCCAACCCCCCCCCCCGCTGTGTGGGGTGGGTGGTGGTGGTGGGGTGGTGGGGTGGTGGGGTGGTGGGGGGGTGGTGGGGTGGTGGGGTGGTGGTGGTGGTTGGGGTGGTGGGGTGGGGGTGGTTGGGTGGTTGGGTGGTGGGTGGTTGGGTGGTTCGGAGTTGGTTTAGGCTTGGTGGGTTGGTTTAGGGTTGGTTCAGGGTTGGTTCAGGGTTGGTTTGCGGTGGGTTTCGGGTGGGTTTGGGGTTTGGGTTGATTTAGGCTTAGGGTTGGGGTTAAGGAGGGGTTGCAGGGTGGTTTGGTTTAGGGTAGGATGTTGCGAGAGGTGCGGGGGTGTTGGTTCACGGGGTGAAAGGGGGAGTCTGGGACCGAAGCTGCAGGGCTCACACGGTACTGGACAGCATCCCCAGCATTGCCAGCATCATCCCCAAGATGCGGATGATGCGGGGGAGGATGTAGTTTGGCGAGCAGAATATGAGAAGGCAGCTGTCCAAGGCTGCTAGGGAAACAGCACTCACTAACAGAGCAGCGAAATTCTGACAGCACCAAATGGCCAAGGAACGGCGATTTGGATGCTAAACCGCCTCCGTAGAGGCAACTCTCAAGAAATCTCCACAGACGGTCAAGTGCTGCTTCAAGCCCAATAAACTCACCAGTCAGCCAAATCCAGTGAAAGGAAGTTCCGGCAGGTCTCGAAGATATCTCCCCATATATGTACCAGTCCCTGGGCCACGTACCCCCCCCCCCCCCAATGGTAGTAACTATGGGGGGACCATACCAGTTACACCAGTTACACCATGTACCCTCTCAATTGCAGAAAACGATGACTGCCCTGTCGCCGTCTCCCTGTTGCCTATCTTTGAACCCGATCGAGCGATCGAGCCGGCCCTGGAGGCCAGCCCGAGTCACGCTCGTCGGTGCGCCTGCCGGCGGAGTCGGGCGGAGTCGGGCGGAGAGTGAGGGAGTGCACGTCAGGTCCGAGATCGGAGATCCTGACCGAGGCACGGGAGAAATTGACTGGGGTCGCTTTTTCTTGTGCCGTATTTGCAGAGACTAGTTGCGTAGTAATCTTGTTCTTTTGCTGTGGCCGGAATTGTGTGCACGGCCTTTGAGTTGCTTACTGGAGTGGGCTGGTTCCAGAATGCGAGAAACATACATGTGAGTAAAAGAAAGCTTCGTTTCCACAGGCCAATCTAACGTAAATGTAGAAAGCAATCTGTGCGTGTCACAAGTCATGCTTTCAACATCAAGAGTCTAAGTTGAACGTCTCCCACTGTTACCTGCGCTGCGACCGCTTTTTTGAGACAAATAGAAGAGCTTGGGCATATCAGTCTGTACGGGCTCTTTCTGTAGATGCTGCGAAGCACATTAGTTCCCCAACGGACTGTATGCCGAGGGTGTACAGTCTCACAGCGCTTGTTAAAAGTTCTGAGACAGGCACCCCACGCATAACACATGCACAGCCACTGGTTTTGGTGCATGACCTTGAAGGCAATGCAACTGGTTTTTCCCAAGCAGAGTTCTTGTCGGGTTTTTAGAAAGAGTTCCAGTGGTCCAGGTCGGGTTCGGCTTTCTGAACAACTCGAACGGGCAAGCTCGAGAGATCGGCATGGGTTTCGAAGGCTTGGGCTTCGCTGCCTTGGGCGCGTGTGTCGGGCGAAATCCGAGCAGAAGGAAGATGAAGGAAGCCTTTGTCTCAACTCCGCGTGACTTTGCAAGCCAAACGTGGCTCGAGATGCCTGCCTCGTTGCGTAAGCGGCAAACTCGCAGACACGCGTGGCAGTGCAGCGCTTTCCTGTATCAAGCTTGAGGAATGTGGCGCTGAGCGCGCGTGCAGCCCATAGTGAACACGACGCTTCCCTCCGGCATGAAATGGGGATGAAGGTGCGCTGGTCGGACTTTTGTTGACGTTCGGGTTGCCTGAACCATTCGTTGTTGGCGTCCTCGGCTGAGATGATGTGGTTGGTCCTGGTACACGATCCACACACATTACCCAGGGTGAGCTCCAACACGCACCCACAGGTTCAGGCATACAGCAGTGAACACAGCTGCGCACCTGGAAAGATCTGGCGGCCTTTCCATGCAACGCACAAGGAGCGGCGGCCCAACAACGACAACAAGAGCAACAGCATCAGCTGGAAGCAATTCACAAGTACAGGGTAGCACCACCACGATTCACAGGAGAATACAACACACTCGAAGAATGGAAGTACAAGATGACAGCATACCATGGGCTACAAGCCTTCATACAACAGACTGCTGAGACAGTCAGAGCAATCGCAACTGCCAGCTACAAACGGCCAACTTGAGACAGCAGCACTTTCATAAGCAGTAGCAGAGCAATGGGTACAACTGAGCAACAACTTACACTACATCCTGGTGAGCACATGCGATGGACCAGCATCTACAATTTGCAGACAAAACGCGCAAGGCAACAGCTTCGAGACATGGCGGCCACTACACCTGAGATACTCCATACCACTTGGCACACGAAGCATTGGGTACCTAACAAGGTTATACTCAAACCACAGCTCGATGAACGGAAGTTCGAAGAGAGCTTTACAACATGGGAGAATCAACTCGGCAAGTATGAACAAGACAACCACACACTACAACCAGACGCAGTCAAAATCGCAATAATGCTCAATGAGACAAAAGGACCGCTACAGCAACACCTACAGTTACAAGCAGGATACTACAGAGCAGCATCATCATCCAACAGGCTACAAGCAATCACATCAGGCAACAGCCAATGGGCTTAGGAGCAACATTATGGTACAACAAAGGTAAAGGAAACAAAGGCAAGCGCAAGGGCAAAGGAAGTACAACAAAGGCAAAGGCTATGGCAGCTGCGGGAACAACTACAGCTATAACAACTACAAAGGAGGAGAAGGCAAATACAATCAACAACCGGTTGGATAAGGAAATCCTTTCAAAGGAAAAGGATACAGCAACAAAGGAAACGGAAAAGGACACCAGGACAAGAAGGATATGGCAAAGGAAAAGGATACAGCAACAAAAGGAATAGGCAAAGGATACAAGGACAACAAGGATATGGCAAAGGCAAAGGACACAGCAACAAAGGAAAAGGCAAGGGATACTACAACAATCAACCAGGAGGAAAAGGAGCAAAAGGAAAGCAAGCGACAAATGATTGCTACAGATGCGGGCAACCAGGACACATGGCCAAACAATGTAGAGTGGCGATCTACAACTGCGACACTGGCAACTTCGACACCAATGACCAGACAGATGACTGGCACAGTCAGGCACACTATGGCAGCAACTGGTACCGCCAGGATCAGACACAGATGCAGCAAGTACCCATCTCAGGATTGCAAGAAGTAGCAATTGCCATGATTGGCACAGCACAACAACTCACAAAGGATAACAAGTGGGTCAGTCTCATGATTGACAGCGGCGCGGCTACACCTGTATGCCCACCATGGTTTGCAACACAATCCCACTACAGCACCTCGAGCATGGAACAGGACCACAACTGAGAACAGTCACCAACCAACACATCAAGCTTCACGGGTACAGATGGGTTTGCGTGACAAAGCACAGTGGACAACAGATTGTCATACCATTTTACGTTTGTGAGGTTAAACAGCCAATTCTTTCGGTTAAAAGGCTGGTGGAACAGGGTTTCCAACTTACACTGGATGACAATCCAAGACTACAGCGCACCAAAGGATTCAACAGCACATTTGGAGAACAGAGATGGCCTGTTCTTCCTACAAGCAGAAATCACAACACTGTGAACTTGTCAGTGTACACAGACAATACAGGAACATCCCCTGCAACTTGTCTTGGCTTTCTGTCAAAAACTGCAAGTTGCGAACATCATCCAAGACAATGCCATCGTGAAGTTTACGGTCGAACGACCGCAACTTGTCTGGAAAATGCAGGAGGGGCCATACCTTGAGTTCTAGAGGGCACTTGAACAGGGAACAGGGAAGCTGCAAACTCAGTCTTCCCGGACATGGACGCACCTAGCAGCAGCAAGACTGGGTAGCGCAGGGCATCTGCTTCTAAAGTTTCAGCCTTGCTGTCACCTCTGGAACTTCAGGGAAAGGCTTGTACAAGGCAGGGTTGGACCGGATTCTCTTGGTGTTGTCTGCAATGATTTCAGCAAGCTCCCACCGCTCCTCCGCCTGCTCCACAGCGTCCAAGTTGCGCTTGCGGCTCACAACACCGTCGCGAGCCACTCTTCACACCATCAAGAACGCAGTGTCCCGTCCCAGCAGAGCAACTTGAGGATTACAGAAGAATCAGGTCCAAGGATGGCGCAACGAACAAGTACCAAATAACAGATGCTCCAAACAAAGCACAACAGCAAATGTGGAAAGGAGAGACAGCATTCAGGATCAAGAAAGGCACAGCACTGCTAGAGACACAGCAACAGTTTGCAACAAAGACACAGCCAAAGAGCGCGCCGCAGAAAGTTACACCACAAGTAATTCAGTACAGCCCACGCACACGACTGAGAGAGAAACAACAGCACAGGACACAGCAGCACACACCACCAAAGGTGCAGCTGGACAAGGACTACCGCATCCTGCAGAAGTACATCATGAAGGAGACTACTGGCACAGAGAAGGCCCATACTGGAAGAGAGTACACATCAAGCCACACACACAGCATTTTACACACCAGAGCAGACACATGACGGGCAAGGCACTAAGCGACTTACACCTTGCAAACAGACCAAGGTACAACCGGCAGGAGGACAGCGCAACACAAGATTGGTAGAAGATGAACGGACAACACAGCAAGCAACGACATCAGACAAGCCTTGGACAGGCTGGGCAAACTTCGAGGAACATCAGGAGTTTCCAGCACAACTTGAGCCAGATGATGAGGAGCAACAGCAAGGCACAAGAGCAAAAGCAGTACAAGCACCCAAGCAACCAACACCACAATAGGACACACCTACCCTACAGAAGTTGGTGTCCAACATGCGTACAAGGAAGAGGCAGACAGAGCAATCGCCCAAAGCAACACAGCAAGCTTCCAATCACACAGCTTGGCTTCGGCTACAGCAAGGGCTTTGATGACAGCAACAATCCTCACAGCAATTGACATCGAATCCGGGGTGATCATGGCCATACAACTGACCAACAAGAGGATGCTCTTCGACTATGCTCACACAGCTACAGCACTTCCTCATTGAATGTAAAAGAACATCACACTCCACACTCAGTCAGATCAGGAAGACAGCGCACATTACAGCAGTGGCCAATAAGAATGGCAACATCACCACAAGGAACTCTGGAGCATACAGCTCACAATCACAAGTTGGAGTAGAACGAGCACCCAGGACATTGTTTGCACAAATCAGAACACTCCAGCACAGATCAAGCAGAACTACAACAGAGACGTTTCAATGAAACACCCACTCATGCCTTGGACAGCCCGACACAGCGCGCGCATCATGAACAGGTATGCAGTTCACAGCAATATGCACAAGCTACTTCAACAGATGGAACAGAGAGCAACACACACACCACTTTGCGAGTTTGGTGAGAGAGTGCAGCGCATGCTACCAACAGTGAAACACTCGGGCCGAGGTTCTACAACGGGATCTGGCTTGGCAAGGATACAACTACAGGCAAGTCCCTCATTGGGCCCTACAGCAAGATTGTCAGAGCAAGGACAACCAGAAGGCAGATAATGCCTCACAATTACAATCAGCAACTACTGGACTGTGCACACACACACAGGTCCATGGAAGACACCAGCACCAGCACTGCCTACACCTAGTCTCACAACACCAGTTACAATGCCAGCAGCAAGCAAAGCACTCGCATCTCAGAAGGATTCAGCAACAAGCGCAGCAGCAGAAGGCAAGAGACAGAGCACATCACAATCGCGTGACCAGCGCACAAAGCAGAAGAAGACAGCAGAGCCAACATCACCAATGACCACATCACCAACACATCAGAAAGGACCGGCGTTGCCACCACCACCGCCTACATGGGCAGCGCAGACAAGCAAC